CCTCCTTGGTCTCTCTTGGCTTGTGATCTCCCCCACCAAAAATAGTCAGAACCTGAAATTTTGTGGACAGAAAATGAAATGTTTCTTTCCCATTTCTCTGTTCCCCTCCTTCTTTCATAATTTCACTCTTTTTTCTCCTCACTCTGGTGTTTACTTATCTAATCTATTCTCTCTGGGGAGGAAGACTGAATGTATATAGTATATGGGGTTATGGGCTTAGTAAAATGCTTGTCACAGCTCAGCTAGCCTAACCTATGGTGCTGGTGGGAATTAAGGTAAGTTTTCTCTTCTTACATATTTCTGATGTTCTTTAAACCTAACATAGTCAATCATTATAAGTATTTATTTACTTATCATTCGGATGTATAAATACACGCCTTTCACTATCCCCTTCTAAGGGGGTGAATTTCATATTTTTAATGCATTATAGGAATTTTGATTCACCTGAAACGTAGCTCCAAGGGAAATCAAGTTACTGTTTCTTTTACCTTCTTGCACAAATAGAAAGATATTCAGATAAAGCAAAATGATTATGGTATAGGCATTGCCCCTTCTCTCTTTTCTGTAAGCAAAAAAGTTTCCAAATGCTACCTACCCATGTGTGGGAAACTACACTTTTGGAAGATGGAAGGAATTTTTACTCCCTGCATATGAGCAAAACCATTAGGTTTAGTTGGTTTGGTCAGATCTTAGAACTATATTGGCAAACAATGTTTATTGGGGGTAACTCTGGTTATATTGCTCCTGGGGGGAATAACAAATCCCTCTAAATGAACAATCTGGTTTAAAAAATATAGAAAATCTAACTACATTGAAACTAATTAAAATCCAAAATCCACCCTGCAAAGGTGTGTGCCCTTATTCATACTCAAGTATAGGTTTTTACCACACACCCCCGTGTGTGCCCTTATTCATACTCAAGTATAGGTTTTTACCACACACCCCCGTGCCCTATTTACTGAAAAAGGGAAACATATCTGCTAATATCTGAGTATCATCTACCTCCAAGCAATCATCTATGATTTCTCTCTCAAAGAGAACTTTCCCTTCTAATTTTCCATTTTGCTTTTCTTATTCATTCTGGCTTCTAAAGGAAATGGGACTTCTAGGTTACTGTGGGACAAGTCAAGAAAAAAAAAATCCAATCAATATCCTTCAACCATGTGCCCTCTTCTCTATCCCCCTTCATGGAGAACTAAACCATCTTCTGTGCGAAAAAGCTTTACCTCAAAGAGATGGTGCTAAATGAGTTTGCACTGAGGCAAGATTAAGCATGGGCATATGAGCTCTCTATTCTACAGTAATAACTCCACTTCTATATACTTTTGCATCCCAGAAATCTTGATATAGGATTTTGCTTCTTTGCTCCAGGCATGGATGTCATTACCTGGGAAATTCTACCCAGAGGTATCAGATAATTTATTGGTTGTCCGTATTTAGATGAAATAATGATGGTCTAAGCAGTCTAAGGGGAATCAGATGATTATTTTGTGATCAATATTTATTGCTTAAGCTATAGAAGAAAGGAAAATGCCTCTCATGCATATATCCAATATGCATTCAATTGCATATCATATTTCTCCTAGCTGTTAAAAAGAAAAAGAACAACAGGAAGATGGATGACTTTGAGTGTTTTTTTTTTTTTGTTAAGTTCCCACCAGTTTCATTTTAAATCCCAACTAAAAAAAAAAAGAAAAGATTTCCTCTTTCTTCTTCATATCTGGACTACTCTTCCTGTAGAGTGAAAAAAACTCTACATTCATTGTTTTTCTGATGCTGCCAATAAGCTTTGTGCTTGAATCTACCAGATAAAAATCTTTCCTAGACTAGATCCTCCTGCTTTGAAAATCTAACAGCTTTATGCTTCGACTTCCAACTTGTGTCTGCATCTTACATCACTGGATTACAGATTAGATTTTCTCCTTCCCTCCATTTGCCTAGATTTCCAGCTGAGTTTAAACATCATTTTCACTGTAGTAGGGTAAGTTGACCTTTTGGCTTGATTAAAGATAAATGCCATTGACTCTCCACTTCTGTCGCATGAGAGTTTTTCAAAAGCTCACTGAAATGTATTTATTTGCTGCTTGGAAATGAATATTGAGTAATATTTATTGCCTGCCATTCTTATAAGATGGGCGTGAATCTTCAACTTTTAGAGTGATAGGAATTGTTAGGGTTGGAGGTATCAAATACAGCTAGTGGAACGTGAGAGGTTTTGGTTATTTGTTGACATCTTTGGTTGTAGACCATCATATCCTAAAGCTTTAGAATCAAATGGAAAGTTAAATATTTTTGTTTGAATCTGACCGTGATGGACATTTCAAGGAACTGTAAGAGCTGAAATACTTACGAAGCGTCAGCAGCATTTAAAACAAATTGGGCTGAGGCCCAGCTTGTTTTACATATCTGTGGCTAATATGACACTAATGTAGTTATGCCCTAAAACTAGCTGTGCTTGTGTTAGTCATTTTCCCTCTTATCTTGTTCGTAATCATAAAAATTAAATGATGTGCAAAAATTGCCCTAAAAACAGATGCTGCCTGCCTTACAGGAGATGTTTTAAATAGCCTGTATTCATAATGGTTCTGCCTCTATAGTCAATATTCTCCACATCTTCTTTACTTCATTATTGTTGAAGCATTTGCATGTAGAATAAAGGGGATAAAAACATAAACACACACACACAAAACAAAGGAAGATTTGTTTCTTCTGAGAACATCTGTTTCTGCTGCAAACTACCCACAAAATGTGGTCCATTTTCTCCCAGTGCCCTCAGAGTTTGCTGATGTGAAGGCAACCGTTACATCCATCTCAGGCCTGAATATAAAGAGATGGTGAACATTGTTATCTAATGATCAAAAATGGAGGGAAAATCCTGATGTAATTGATAAATTGGTAATATAAAAGACAGGCATACTCACAATTAAGGGAAGTGAGATTGAATATAAAATGATCTACTATAAAATTATTTTTTCCTAAGATTCATTGATCACATTGCATCATGACCCAATTATAGGTACGTTTGGTGTACTTTAAGTTTCTTCACCGGATTCTCAGAATTCTTGTGAATTTGGATTGCACTTGGGGTGTGGGGTACATTCTGAAAAAATAATTCAAATTATCTGCTGTATACTTAGAAAATTAGTTTCTTATTTTTAAGAGAAAAATTTCCTCAAACTTGAACTGCTACCATAACCCTTTATAAATACACTATAGGAGTGATAATGACTAAAAATTAAAAAGTGCAGATTAAAATTAAACCATTGAACTCATTGCCAAGAAGAGTTGATTCCAACTCATGGAGACCTCATGTGTGTCAGACTACAACTGTGCTCCATAGGCTTTTCAATGGCTGATATTTTTAGAGGTAGATAGCCAGACCTTTCTTCTGAGGCACCTCTGGGTAGACTCAAACCACCAACCTTTTGGTTATCAGCTGAACTCATTAACCATTTGCACCACACAGGAACTCAGAATCTACTCAAAGGCAACTTTTTTTTTTTTTTTTAAATTTAAAATTACCTGATTTAAAAAATTTCTACCCAGGTGGTAGTCCTTTTTCCTTCTTTCTCCTAAACGTTATATAATAACTTCACTCTTGTGGGCAAGGGAGCCGAAACAGTGTCTAATGAACTCTGTATAATAAAGCTTTCAAAATTACTTAGTTTAAAAAAAAAAGTATTGAGCTTATTTGATGGTTTTTCCAAAGAAATAGAGACCTATGTAGACATCAGTCATTCAACAAGCACTTATGAATCACTTATTATGTACTAGCCCCTGTGCTTGATATATGTTGGAGCCTAGCATATGGTCTTCTGTAATATTTCAGATGTATACTATCCATAGGGACATATTGTCCAGTTACATATTTCATCTTTATTTTTTAAGTCATTCTCAGGGATAGGGCTTTCTACATGTTGATAGTCTGATCCAGAAAGTTTTAAACTGCAACTTCTTGCAGAGGCTTTAGCTCTCCAGCTAGAGAGAAAAAAACTTGATCTCAGTTTTCTGGTTCTGTGACATCTTCTTTGTCTTTTCAATTTTCACATCAGTTGAGTGATGATACACTCTTAAGCACCAGGACATTTATTTTTTTACCTTACTAACTAGATTGTCTCAATGCCTCAGTGCCTCTCTATCTTGTTAGCTGTCGTCATCTAATTACAATTATTCTTATTTTGTCCTGATTCTTCTTAGGGTGAACTTGAACGTCATCTTGAACATCTTGAGTGTGGGTATCTTGAAACAATTTGGTTTATTTCTTCCTCTGGCAGCCCTTCCTATAGAACATTCCTCTGACCAAAAAAGATTCCATTTGGAATTTTATATATTTTTTTTAGGTCTTTGGATCTTTTTGGAGGATGATGAAAAATGGGATAAGTCTGAGGTCCATCATCTTCCCTTCAGGAGCATTATTTATATTGGGGTTTAATCCTTGCTGTTATTAGGATTGTGATGATTACCAATGTGATTTCTGTGGTTGATAGGACCACGGGTTAATGAAAAGATCAGGTTAAGAAAACATACGTTGCAGAGTTCTTTTCTCATCCAATTGGTGGATACTCTCTAAAAGCCATACTGGTGTATTATGCCTAAATGACCAAGTGAGTCTCAAAAATTTGGGATGAATTTCCTGTGTCTCCAAGAAATTCATCTGAATTTTAAGACTTTGGGAAACAAAATGAAAATTGACTACTATTGCCTGTAATTGTTCACTTATTGCCATTGGAATTTTAAAACCTTGTACCCATAGATAAAGGAGGGCACTTACTTCTTAGATTATTTTGTCATTGTCTGTAATGGTGTAATTGAGACTTTGGGTGGGGGGGATTTATTATGGAGGACCCTGTTGGATTAGTGAAACCAGGATGAACTTTGGGGGAGGTACAGTTCTTTGAGTGCTCCTGGGTCACGTGCACCAGTGTGGCTTTGGGAACCTTGGCACTACGAGCATGACTTCTAGAAATGATTCTAACTTTGGCACTTACCACCGTCCTTAGGCAAAGGACCTGAGACCCTGTATGCGGGGCAGAAGCTCAACGACAATGAATGGCACACCGTTCGGGTGGTGCGGAGAGGGAAAAGCCTTAAGTTAACAGTGGATGATGATGTAGCTGAGGGTGAGTACAACTATGGTGATATTTTCTCTTTTTGCTCTCATAATCCTCTTGGTCTTTCAGTGAGAAAATGTTTATTTATTTATTTCCAATACCTTCTAGTTTGCTTAACTGAGCTCACAGGTTATATCCTCTGTTGACAAGCTCACACAAGCCTAAGAGAGTCTTCCTCTGTATTTTCACAGAATTGTATTGTAGAACTTACCCCCTACTCTAATGAAATATTTATGGACCTCTCTCCTTAGGTATAGATTACATGCCTGGAGAACGGAAGCAGGGTTCTACCGCTCATTCTATTGTTCAGTCATTCAAAAATCACTTATCAGTCAACCTCCCAAGTTCTAGTCCCTTCCCTGACTCTTTACCAGAGGGAGACAGATAAACCAGAAATGCAGAACATCACAGGTAAAAGTAGAAGCACTGGTGGCACAAACAATTAAGTGCTCAGCTGCTAGTTGAAAGGTTGGTGATTCAAACCCACACAGTGGCTCTATGGGAGAAAGATCTAACCATCTGCTTCCGTAAAGATTACAGCCTAGAAAACTCTAGGAGGAGGTTACTCCGTCACATGGGATTGCTATGAATTGAAATAGACTTGATGACCTCTAATAAGAACAACAACAACAGCATAGGTGAAAGTAAGTAGAACAATGCATTATACTTAGAAAGTGCTAAAAAGATTTGGTTTAATTCATTATTCATTTAATTGTTATTAATTGAGTGCCTATTATGTACTGAATGCTGTTTTGAAAGGCATTGGGAATATAGTGGTGAACGAAAGACAACAAGTGGTGAACAAATATAAATTGCCTGGTGAATTTATATTTCGGAGGAGAATGAGTAAATGAATGCGTTTATACATATGTAAAGAGACATTCAAATTCCCACACAACCAGTAAATATTTCCTGAGAGTCTATCGTAAGCCAACAGAGTACTAGGGATCATAGAAGATAAAAAGGAAGTACAAGGCGTTGCCTATTTCTTTAATTAGTGAACCAATCCCATTGATTAGATAGGATTCTGGTATTTGAAACTAAGACAAGAATATATAATGGGATTTTAATTTGGGTGGTGAAGACTATAGTTGTCAATCAGAAGAGAAAATAATCAGTTTGGGCTAGAGAAATTAGGAGTGGTTCGTGAAGAAGT